GCGCGGGGGCGCGGGCGCCCCCCCCCCCCCCCCCCCCGTGTTATTTGACATGGCACAGTGACTGTGCATTTAAAGTTCAGACTGTCAGCTCTCATTTCAGAGCCTCCTCAGACGGGCTGAGCGGCTCTGCAGCACTGAGTGGATCAGCTCCATCCCCTCATGTGCGACAGGTCTGAGCAGGGGGGGGGGGGGGGGGGGGGGGGTGACTCTGCAGCATTGTGCAGGAAAGGTTAAGAAGGGCGCCAGACCCCTGGGAGCTCCTCTGGATGCTCCCACGCTTTAAATGGACTCGTCAAAGCGCAGCGGAGACAAACAGGAAGCTCTGCCCCGGCTGCTCAGTCATTCAGCCGCAGTGGCGGGAATCTGCGTCATTTCACGTCCAAAAGCGCCGAGAGCCAGAATGTTAATGTGCCGCTGGAGCCGGTGGAGCTCACTCTTCATACATATGCATCCACCCACAATTCCCCGCGCAGGCAGCCCGCTCCCAACCTCACAGAGGTTTCTAAAAACGGCAGAAAGCTTACCGCCTGTGACAGCAGACGTCACACCGGAGGAGAGCAACTTTGATGAGACCCGTGCTTTTAGAGGCCTCCTTTGTTAGCAGGCAGTGAATCACGCTCACCAGATAAATCATCCCGCCAGCATCCGGCTTAGACTGTGTACAACCTGATAAGGTTGCCAAGGAAACCCTCCCGGAGAGCCAATGGGGGGTTTTAGATTTCTTTATTTATATATTTAGTTCTTTTAGCCCTAGCAGCCCTCTATGCAAACAATTAATACCTTTCCCAGGCAGAGGGGAGGAAGAGGGAGGCCAGCACAAATCCCCAGGTGCTCAGCAGCGCTCTGCTCAAATGTGAATGAGGACATGAGCTCTGGAAAAAAAAAAAAAAAAAGGGGAAATGTCACAAATGGATATTGGGCCGGAGGACAGGCGGGGATGATGCATGAGTCACTGTACATTAACTCAATGAGAGACGAGCGTTTAGTCCATAAATCTGCTCTGAACACGCGCGGAAGCTCGCGTCACTAATGTCCTTTTAATGAATGTTTTGAATACGCGGCCATAAAAGCGCCATTACGTCCCCGCCACATCCATTTGTGCGATCAGGCCGGGCCCCCCCCCCCCCCTCCTCCCCCCGCAGCCACCTGACTGCACCCCCGAGAGCAGAGCCGGCGCGGGGCCGCGGACCAGAGCCCCGGGCCCTGCGATTACTGACAGCCAATTCCAGCAATGGAGGCCCGCTTAGAGCCGCCACCGAGCGCTTTAGTCTCTTTATTGAGGACCTGTCAGCGGGCTGCACACACACACACTCACACACACACACATATACACACACACACGGGCTGCTGGCTAATAAGCAGGCAGTGATCGATCAGCGCGTTAAAGGCAGGGGGGCGAGCAGGGCTCCAAACGTGCACGCGCAGCCCTGGTGTGCTGTGATTGGTGGCTCAGCTGGGAACCGGACTCCTGACGTCACCCAGCGCGCCTAATTATTAGGGAGCCAATTCTGGACAAGTTGGATTAGCGCTGGCCCGAAATGAATGTAATTACCCAACGCATTAACTAAAGGAAGCAAGGGGCGAAAACGGAAACAAATGACCAGGAAGAAAGGGGGGGGGGGGGGGGGGCACGAGTCAATAAGGACCCACCTGAGTTTCTTCTCAGTGGACTGGAAGGCATGGAGGATGGCGGGTGGTGATTTCACCTGCCCTCTTTTAGATTGATTACAGCCATTAAGCGGTTAGAATGTCACCTCACCTGGTGGAAGGGGTGGAACCCACTGGCTAATTAAAATTAATCCCCCCCCCCCCTTAGACACACACAGCCCAAAAATAACAAATAATAGGATGACAGAGAGAAACTAAGTTTCTCACGAGAAAAGAGTTCATTCCAGTCTTTTATTATCAAAAAAATACAGCACAAAATTACACACGGAAAGGAAAATGGTCATCCCATAGTGTGCACCAGTTCATATTGTTTTAGTCCGCTCATCTCCATGCTAAAGTTAGTACGGTTAGTAGTGGTTTACATAGATGTGAACAGCGAGGAGGGGCCGTCCCCCAATAAGCTCTGTACACTTTACCAGCAGGTGAAGAGTAACTAGATTTCTACAAGGGCCCCAATCTGGCTAACAAACAGAAAAAAAACACACATCAGAAGAAAAAAAAGTGTTTTAGTAGGACTGGCCTCAACGGCCAAGGCCTCAGTTCCCTAAGTGTTACCAAAAAGTTGATGTTAGATTATGATTTAGTCATTTCCACAATCCCTCAGACACACAAACTCACAGAAACGATGTCGGAAAAGCTCAAACAACATTTCATGTATAAATCCTTATGAACATCAGTAAAGCACTCATTCATGTAGTGAATCGATACTTTTGACAGGTCATTTATACTTAAGAGCCAGAACCTAAAAAAAAAAAATTACAAGTTACGGTGATAACATTTTAAAAAACAAACTACAGACAAAAGGAAAAACAAAAAAAACAGACACATTTCACGAGGCGAGTGGGTGTGGGAAAGATCCGAGACCAGACCCGGCTGAGGCAGAAAAAAAGAAAAGAAAAAAGAAAAACAATCGATAGGCTCAGTGTTGTGCTCCAGACAGCGATGGCTGTGAAGGATGACGCTACTGCCGCGAGCAACACGCTCGGCACGACTCGACTGGGCGACAAGGCACAAAATAAGTCATTAAAATCCAGCTGGGAGGAGGTGGACCGAGGGGAGGACTGGGAGGCTAAAATAAGAGGCAGAATAAGGCATCAGAGTAATAAAGAAACAGTCCTAAGAGCACAAGGGGGGAAAGACCAACCAAAAAACGACCTGATCAGAAGCAGCATTCAGACTGTAAATTAAGGTCAAACCAAAGGGGTTGTAACAAAGCCTATCACATTTGTTCCACTCTGTGGGAACTTTCTTCATGCACCGTGATTAAAATCCCTCATTAAAGCCTCCAATTAATACTACAAAAGCCTTCATATTGACCACAGAGAGAAGGTTAATCAAGATTTCCTCTGCGTGATGCAAAAGCCAACACAAAGGACTACATCTGTGGGCACGGGGGGGCAGAAATTAGGAGCTGCTGCTCAGTCGCTGGGGTTTTTGGGGGGACTGGGGGGGGGCTGCTGATCCCGGCGTCCTCTGGGCTCGGAGGCCGCAGTCAAACCCCATCAAAGCTGATGGCTCAGTGAGCCCTGCTGTCCAGCTGCTCCCACCACCAGCCACTGGTGCTTTTTAAGTTTGGTCAAGAAGCAATAATCCGGCCCGTCGCAGCGGGAGCTGAGCAGAACGCCCCCCCACCCACCCACCCCCCCACGCACCCCCTGCCACCACCAGCCAATCCTGACCCTCTGAGGCCCCCTAAACCCGCCAAACCCGCAGTGGGCGTTGGGAACAGCTGGGTGACCGTTCAACAGCAGACAGCGGGATTAAAGCAAGTTTTTTTCTGAGTTAAGGGATCTCCAAAAACAGCAGGCAGTGCAGACGGCTGGACTGGGCTGATGCTCTCCACGTCCACAGATGCCGTCAGCTGCACGCGTGCGGCTCGGGGGCCCCGGTCCGGCTGCACACACAGAAGACTACAGCAACAAACAACTACATAGAAAAAATAACATGCATTCACGTATGTACAATATCATCTGTGATTTGACCATTTCATTCTGCTTTACAGCCACACCAATTCAATTCATACTTCTGTCAAAGTCCAGGACATAAAATGCATAAAGGGATTTTTTTTTTGGTGTTTTGTGTTTTTTTCTGTCTATGATAAAAACTTAATGAGCTCTGTTGTGGTTCCAGTACAGCACAAAATCTCTTGTCAGCACAAAACAGAGCCAGGTGTTCATAAGGGGAGGGTAACCCCCCCCCTCCCGTTTGTAAATAATGAAGAGGAGAAAAGGTCAGGTCCCACCGCCCCGGCTTTTGTCCATCTCTTCCCCTTCCACGTGCTACACGATCGAGCCGTCCCTGTTCTGGGCAGGGATCATGACGGGGATGCCCCCCATGCGGCTGAGATTAGGCCCGGCCATCCTGGGAGCGGTGGGAGGGGGCAGAGGGACGTGGCTCGGGGGCCTCTCGTACTCCTCGGACGAGGGGATCTTGTCGTACTGGGCCTTCTGGGTGAACTCGTGCAGGTTGGAAGGCGACATGGACCCCAGGGAGGAGCGCTGGCTGCCCACCGTGAAGCTGCGAGCTGTTGAAGCGCGGCTCTTGGGAGGGGGCACGTCCTCTCTGAAACAGAGACAGAGCCATGGTCAGACCCCCGTTATGATGCGTGGACCCCAGACCCTCCAACGGCCCTTTGTGTGTTTCACACTAAAGCACGAAAGCGAACTGAACCAGAGCAACAGCACTCTGTTATAAGAGCTGCTTGTGTGGGGCCCCAAAAAAAGCCCGGCTCATTGATTGGATGGGAGTGGGCAGTAAGCCCATCCCCTTTTCAGAGCTCCTGCAGCACGCCTTACCTGCTGCTTTGGTCTGCTTTAGTGTTTTCTACCTGAAACGCAGGGCGCTGGACATCAGGTGCTCTCTTTGGTTCGTTTAACAGTAGGTATGTTTTTCTCTTGGTAAACTCAGACCACGTTTTCAGTCAGACCAACCAGACAGCCTCCACGCCTCCCCAAACAGAGCAGACTGTCTGGTTGGTCTGAAGGGGACCAAACGGTTTCTGTTTTTTCTTTGGCGAGAAAAGCTCATGGCTTTTTCGCAGGAAGCTGCCTGTTGCGAGCAGCTGCAGAGCCATCCAGATGTTGCTCTGAGCAGGAGACGGACGCAGCGGTAGTGATGCTGCGACGGCCTGCTGCTGCTACAGAGAGGCCTCTCTTTGGTTCACTGGATGGTCTGTTTGCATTTCCCACTGTAAACCAAGTAAAACCCTTCACACCCCCCCCCAAACAGTCAACTTTACGATGAAACCACCCGTTCCCTTTTGGGTGCTATGAAAGCGCCTGCTATCCTAAATACTGAAAACGATTTGCTGGTTTGCAGAGGAGAATAATGCAGCACAGGTACGGAAGCAGACACACGAGCACTCTGAGTCATTATGGGAGCAAGACATGACTGGACTCAGAAAAAGGGGCACAAATAATTGGACTGAGCCTGATTGGTCAAGCTGTCTGCACTGGCTGCAAAACAGCCGGCAGATAGCAAGCGTTCAGACACAGTTATGGATCCTATTCCCTCTGCCACCACATTAGCAGCTAATAGGCAGCAATAATCCAGTTAAATGCTCAATCAAAGTGAGCCGTGGGGGCCGCCGCTCGTTGCGGTTGTCCCTTCACGCCGCGGCCTTTCAGAAAATGTGCGTCTGTGTGTCGGAGACGGGGCCGGAGGTCTAATCCTCTTTTGTCCTGCAGTGCGAGTGCTGTGGCATTGTGGTCTCAGACAGATTCAGTCCACAGCAGCGTGATGGTAAGCCCAGTGGCTGAGCAGCGCCCGCGGGCCGGATGGATGTGCAGTGGGGGTGGGTGGCAGCCAGAGGCAGACATGACACAGGATACACAGAGCAAACAAAGCTTTCAAACTGATTACCGCAGCTGTTTACGTGAGGGGGGGGGGGGAGAAAAAACGTTTTCACGGTTGTTGGGAGCATCGGAGGCGCGTCTGTGGTGCTCTGTGGTCGGGCTGGATGCAGTAATCACGGATCCTTCATGGACCGGCTCAGGCTTACTTGTAATCCAGCATTATACAACAGATTCACAGTCCTCATTACACAGCAAAGAGCAGACAGGAGCATCAAAAGGAGCTTTGTGCATCTGCAAGCCAAATCTCTGCCGGGCTTTGGAGGCCGTACCTTATCTCATTGCAGATTTCCTTCTCGTACTTCTTTTTGTTACGAATTCGGCAAAAACAGAACAGGATGATGGCGATAATGAGGAGGATCAAAAGAACAGCAATTATGGATCCTGCGATGATGCCCGCTGTGTTGGCAGCTGCATGACACAGAGAAGAAAAGAGTGGTTTACATGGACTTTGAGTAAAAATGACAAAGGTAATTAAAGCCATCTATCCTCTGAAAGCCCTGAACTGCAGTCAGCTTTAGAGAAGGGCTGCTCTCACTGCAAGTTTTTACTAAATACAAGTTAAGAAAGTTAGAATGATATGACAGCTTTTGCTTTCTGTGGACAAATGCATCAGGGGAGTCCATGGATGTTTGGAGCCGTCTGGGCCGGATTATATCTAGTGATGTCAAAGAGCCAAAATAAGGAATAAGGAGCTGCTCTTCAACAATATCCCAGCTTTGATATTCAGTTTCCAACAGGCAGCTACAACCTACTCCAGCATTCAGGAAGTCAGTGCTGTCACAGCATGTGGTGCTGGAGCCTCTATTTACATGCCATATCAGAACTGGGGCAGCAGAAATAAGTACCACTTCCATCACACTTTCTCTACTTTTCATATCTCTGATTTTCTGTTTAGCTGCAGAATTTCCAGCACGGTCCCTCTGTCTTTGTCTTAGAAATGCTAAAAAAAAGACGACGAAAAAAAAACTCATCACCGCTGTTGTGATCAGTTCAAAACATGAGCAATAAGGCAGGCTGAGAAGAAAAAAACCTGATGGGGTAACAAGCTTTTCTGCCTTCTTTGGCTCATCTTTTAAAACCTTTTTTTTTTTTTAAGATCATCAGCAGAGCAAGTTAGCAAACAGACTAATGGGGGGGTTTATGCATAAACATTAAGCTGATTGGTACTCACGAGGTGTCACTTTGAGATAAAGTGTGCACTCCTCGGTGCCAACGCGGTTGCTGGCAACACAGCGATAGGTACCCGATGCAGCGGCAGATGCATTCCTCACATTAACGGTGCCAGCCACAGGATCTGTGTCGAGGGCAAAAAACACATCAACCAAAGGACAAGCAGAGTCAAAGACACACCAGTGAACTGATGAAAGTTTCATAATCACCCATCACGGCAGAGGCGGGCAGCAGCTTGTGGTCACTGGTCTTCTCCCAGCTGTACTTCATGGGTTTGGTTCCCTCACTCGTGGTGCACCTCAGCACAACGTCCTTCCCCTCTTCGGTGGCACCTTCGGCGTAGCATCGAGGCTTGGACGGCCGCACTGAGGGAGGAAAAGAAACGCTTTGGCTCAGAAAACAGCAAAACCCTCCCAGTGGTAACGCTGGCTCAGAAAAAAGTGGTTAGTCTCGTGTTTGACTTGCTCACATCAACCAGCAGTCAGCGGGCTGAGGGCAGTAATCAGAATATTAATTGCTGTCGTTACAGGATCTGTCACTCAGGATAATCACAAGGAAAAGGGGAGCTGTGTGCCTTCGGATACACAAACACATGCGGATATAGTATTTGTGATTAAGGACGGTTAAAAAAAATCAGATGTGTGCAAACACGACTCCATCAGCCAGCGTGGAGACCGGAGACGAGACGGGGGACCTAAAACAAACAGAGCTCCAAATGAAAAGCAGGCGGAGGCAGAGAGCCGGGGGATGGGGCGCAGAAGAAAGGGGCTCTGACGGCTAATGTTTGGACAGAGAAAAGCTCTGGGCAAAGTCTGTGCTCAGTGGTCTCTGACATCATGGTGTGGTAATGAGTTGTGTGGAAAGGGCCCTCCACATCTGAACCAGGTGCCGTGGAGGAGGGGCCAGTTTAGCGGACAGAGTAAGGATTAGCAGTGCTCCGACAGCACTGGGTGCTCTTATTAATCTAATAAACACACAGAGTGAGGACATGGGGGGGGGGGCAGAGAGGGTGGAAGAACCTAAATGAAGCAAGCGCTGATGGACAGATGGTGGAGCGATGATGGCTGAGCCCTCATGAGTCTGGCTGTACACATTCAGGCAGCACACAGAAAATGCCGGGGAGCGGTGACATTTTGAATGCATCTTCTAAAGGTGAGAGTCAACACGTCTGCGGCACACAGCTCCTCAGATTATGCCTGCTGTCCTATGATTAGATTTATATGTTTGAGAGATGAGGTCGAAGAGGAAGGTGATGTCGGCTGGTGGAGCAGGGAGACGGAGGACGGCCCAACCGGCTCCGTTAAAGGAACAATGAGTTGGAATTTATGAGGGGCACAAGGTTATCTGATTGAGGGGATAAATAAAAAACGGGGATAGATTACCACTTACAGATGCACAGCTTTAGGGAGTGATGAATAGTAAAGTGAAATGTGAGTTACTAATGGGCAGTGGAGCCGGGCAGACCGGATTAATGAGATGGGCTGTTGAGCCCTGCAGAGCGGCCGATGTGAAGGGGACGGCTGGCTGTTCACAGAACAGGAAGTCACAAACAGCTGCTGACGTGCAGCGCTGAGCTGCAGGTGGAGCCTCTCCTCCTATTAGCTTCAATGTCGCGCCGCAACCGGAGGAGAATTCACAAGAAGGCATGCTGCCTCCTGTATAGTACCTGGTCACTGTGTACACTTCAGGTGTCAGTGTGTGTGTGTGTGTACACACTCACTGACACACACACACGCAGCCATAGTGTGTGATGAGGTGAGCTGCGTTTATGTTTGTGTACGCTTATGCATGCACGCCTCCTCTGCTCTTCAGGACCATCTACCTTGTGACAAGATCAACCTCAAGGTAAAATGCAGAGCAGGCAAGATGTCCGCACCTCTCCTTGTCAGCATTTCTCGGCTCTGCGCCAACCCCCCCCCCAGGGTCAAGCAGCTAGCAGCCTGTCAACTTCTTTGGCCTCAAGCGGTCTCTTTTTCTCACACACACACAAACTTAAAACTGTGCCGTCCACATCAGGCCGTTTGTAAGCACATAAAGGTGTTATAACAAAGTTTTCACAGGGAGCTCAGAACCATTCCACACAGCGCAGGGTGACTTGAAGTATGTTCAGACGTATCAACAATATCGAAATGTAAAGACCATTCTAAATCATCATATTCCATGAAGTGCTCAGTGTGAGGATGTGTCCATCATGGCTGCATCGTGTATATGTTGTTTGTTTTGGGTTTCCTCCAAAATGAACCTAAACCATTTTGTATACTGCAGCGTGTCTGGGTTCCTTGAAATTTTTTGAGTCACTGAGTAATGTCTGACCTCCGGACACAGATAACCCTGAACCTGAGCTGACTAATAAATTCCTAAACATAATAAAAAATGTCCCGTTTTGTGATCAACACAAAGATCAAACAAACGTGCTGCTGAATTACAACATGGCGCAGCATCGCTGTCTACCGTCATCGCTCAATAGGACTGATTTAGGGCCCTTTTCATGTTATTCAAGAGAGGAAAATACAGGCTGGGAGCAGTTCTGTAACTGAATTACTTGCCTTACTTAAATCCAACTCTATGTCTGACATAAACAGTGACCTGATACAGGTCCATCATCAGTCACTTTGCACAAAGCCCTGATCAGAGATTTAAGCTTGGATTGGAACATCTTTGTAAGAAATGCCTGAACTTTCACCTTAAAAACATTTCTAAATAAGCTACATATTTGGCTTGGAGGTCCGGGAATAAACGCCAGAAGCAACTTTAGTGAAAAGACAATTAGAAACACTTGGTTACTTTATCGGCTGCTGAACTGTTACAGTAGATTTATGATATCTGGCAACTCCGAGTACATCTGGGATCTGGAACCATTTCCAGAAAAAGGCTGATGCCGTTAGATGATAGCTTCACCAAATTATGATTCACTGAGAAAAACAGCTATTTTACATTAAGAGCAAAATGCACTTACATTTTTAATGAGTTATTAACTGTGGTATTTCAGCAAATTGGAATTGATTTCATGAATTTAAGAAATAAATGGGACATTGTTAAATATCAAAGTATTTCAGACAACAATAACTTTACTGTTTGTATCTGCTAGTTTCCGAGCAGGGGTGTTCTCAGACTCACATTTTCCGTCCTCTTATTTGTTGTATTTATGTTTTAGGGAAGCTAGAGGAGCAGTTACACATGTTCATTTTCACTTCTTACAGGAAGAGATGGATTTTTTAGATGAAAGTGTAATCTGCAGAAAAAAAGTAAAACAAGAAATAGAAGTCTATATAAACCTTACAGTATTTTTTGTGTAGGTGTCTAAAAACTACAGCTCAGCATGAATAAGCTGCAGAACGAGTTTGGCAGTAAGAAATCTGTTCCTGTTGCTCTTTAACTTGTGGCAGATCTCCCTTACGCTGTTCCTGCTGAGCTCCGTTTCTTCCTCTCTGAGACTTGGGCGTTCAGGAAGAAACTGTTTGTACACAGTTATGTGCTGGCAATGACTACAGCAGCGGACGATTGTTTGAGCTGCTTCTGTTTTATATGTATGGGCCACCCAAAGGGTGTGTTCATCAGACAGCACCACACAACAGCTGACAAACCTGTTTGTTTGTGCTGATGTTCAGACAAAAACATGGAAAGGGAAGGGCAGCCATTTTCTGAAGCGTGTCCTATCTTTAGACCGGACTCTAATAGTAATGCCGGCTATAATGGCACACTATGCAGCTTACGTCACAACACAGACCAGGGTTTCACATGAGGGCTGTTTTTCTCATATGCAAATGACAGGCAAGTTTCGAGAGGCGATTCACTTTCGACATCATTTAGCTGCTTGACTAACCAGCACGGCCACTGCGTGCACGTGTGTTTGCCCAGGGAGTGAATCATCTGACTTATACAACTTTGATGTGTCACCCGTTCCTCTCTTTGGAAAAAACGAGTACATAGACTGCCTTTCCTCGTAGCTTGTCCACAGAATGATCTAATTACCAATGCAGAGGTTTAACACCATAATGCCTGCAAAGATAAAATGGCCACAATATTATAATATTGGATTTAGACCGTGCATTTTACCGTTCCTAACAACAAAAGGATTGTGTACACTGGTCATCAGTCAGAATTAATAAATAACCCTTCAGATGTGTGATTTTAGAGGCAATCACACATTTAGAGCGAACGCGTTACAGAGGGGACAATCCTCTGCAGCTGCTGGGAAGGTTACGCTCTCTATTTTAGAGGCGATTTCATCAAAACAGCCAATGAGGACAAGGGCGTGCGGTTTGGTGCATTTCAAAGCCGAGGGAGATTTTACCCAGTGAGCATAAAAATATAACCAGCTAGTTTAACATCAGGGTGTTTTTCTTCCTCCAACTCACCCATGACGATGAGCTGCATCTTCTTGCTTCGGATGCCTGGAGCCTTCTTCACTTTGCACTGGTAGGTGCCTGAATCTGTGGGCTTCAGCCCTGTCAGATTGATGGAGGCGTCACCTTTCTTGGGGTCAGGTGAGTTGAAGTGGACTCGGCCTATCATGGGTTCATAGTAGTCCTCGTACGTCCGGTCACCAGAGTAGAGAATCACCTGGTTGTGGCAAAAGGACACAGGAAAGTTAAATACCGTTGTGCTCTGAACCCGGAAACAAACAAGATAAGGTACACAAAATGAGAGCTTGAATTCCTACCAACGCTAAAACCCTGCCCAACGAACCAACTGAAAATATTTGGAAGAGGGAAAACACACATGCTTTTATCTCTGGATTGTCCTTCAATCTGGCAACCTGCACCATTTAGCTTTTCTGTGCAAAAGAAAAATGAAGGTGGAACAAACAAAGACACCACTGTGAGGCTAAATCAACACCTGCTGTGTCAACAGAGCCCCCCACCCCACACACACCCAGAGCCTGGGTCCTGAAGGAAATGCCTTCAAATGAAGGCCAGGTGGAGCCTTATAACAGTGGGGGTGATGGTAGAGGAAGAAAACAAAGATGAGAGCGAGGAAAGAAATGGAAAACGAGAAACAAAACAATCATCTCCTGCACACAATGTGATTTTCTTCCACAATTCTGCGGCAGCTGTCATCAACTAGCTCTTCTGTGCCACGATCAACACCGGCACAGTAACACCCCGGAGTGGAGAGCAGGAGAGAAAACATTCAGCATGACAGGAGAAAAGGACGAACACCAAAAAGAAGCTGACAACTCAAACACAGGAGGAACAGACAGTGAGGTTGTAGCACCACTCTGCTCTATTTCCGAGAGTAAAGCGAGATCCTTGAGATGGGACACAGGAGAGCTTAAAATGGGAACTGTGTTCATGTTGTACACATTAGCCACGCAAACAGGTACCACTGTTGAAATTCCATATTGCTCTCAGGGGAGGCAAAGCAATCCATGTGTCTTTTCTGGGGATCAGGATACCAGAGGTAATAACAGTTATGTGAGATGAGACCACAAAAGAAAGGAAATTAAATTGCCCCAAGCTCAGCCAGACAAGAACTCTCACTTGGGCTTCACCACTTCACAGGCAAACACACGGGAGTGCTAACACACACACACACACACACACAAACACACACACACGTAAAAAGAAAACCCCTGCACATTAACCTTGAGAATCGTGACATAAAATCTCATAAAAAGCCTGGGAAAAAAACACAAAAAGGGCAAACGATTGAGAAAGCTGGCAGGGGAAGGGACGGGACTAAAGAGCATGTGTCAGTGTGTGCATTTCATAGCAAGCAGCAGTGGTACGACTGCCACCTGACAAGGAATGCTCCACTGAAGTGATCCCACTGCAGAGGTAAAACACCTCTACAGGTCAGCCTCAGTTAAGATGACATCACTATCACGTGATGCAGCTATTTGAGAGGCAAAGCAGAGCGCTGAATTTCTGTGTACTCCAAACAACCTGCAGAGCTTAGTGCATCTGCATTCCTACTGAGGCTTTTAACTCCAGTGCTGCAGGAACGTCGTTGCTCCAAACCGATTCAAAAGGTTAATAAATAATGGTTCGCTGAAAGTAGAATTGGTGCTCTTCAATATTCAAAGCCACATTAAATGTAACAAAACATGGCAAGACACGGGGAAAAAACAGGTCATTTCCACAAAACCTAGAAGATAACAAATGACTCTGTCACAAGAAGGCAATGTTTGTGGCACGGGACGAGGTTACATAATTCATTCTATTATTCATCTATTAAAATATTCCAAATTTGGCCTCCATGACAGCTTTTGTCATTGTTCTCACCGCAGTGGAAGGCACTCAGGGCACGCCCTCCGTTCAGTGAATCTGTAGCTTGGCACCGGGAGCAAAATGCAAATGACTGTTAATGTCGGCATGACCGGCATCTCTCATTCAAATCCAACAAAGCAGTATGAATTAGCTGTGCTTCGACACCCAGAAAACACAGTGTGTTATAACAATAATATGTGGGATATGTTAGCCGAAAGGGGCTTAAAGCACAATGAGCCCCAGCTCATCTACAACAGATAAAAAAAACAGCACAATAATATACACAAAAGTCTGAAAAGCTACTCCAGTTCACATTTACTTTCACTGGAGAATGGATCCTGTTGAATATTTATCCACTCTAAATATGTTTCAACCCCTCGCTGAGGGATTTGAGCATCTACGAGCCTCTGGCTACAAAGTTAGCCTTCCCTCTCACTGCTTTGCCTGGTCAACTTTGGTCCAAGCAGACTGGCCTAATTCCACTGAACCCTGTCACATCTATTAAAAACACCCACTTGGAATTAATGTGCCACTAATTTGCCAAGAATTTACTCAGTGCATGACTACATGTTGGTTAAGGGCTAAAAGAATGTGAGCGTGTGGGTATAGCAAAATGTAATAGGTCAAGGAGAACAAATGTGATCACAGAGAAATGTCTGACCTGCTTAAATACCTTCAAATGGTTGGTAACAATGAGCATGTTAAAAGACGAGTTAAATTCACCCGTTTAGGAAGAGAACCTCTAAGGGAGCCACAAACTGCCTCTCATTTGTAAGATCATCACGAAAATAGGAACACATTTAAAGTTCCACAGAAGAAGAAAACAGTGGTTCAGCTTAGAAGGGGCAGAAGACGAGTATGAAGAGAGAGCTCTTCCTGGTTGAGAGTAAAGGTTGTTGGGTGAAGGGACAGAGAGGACAGTGGGCGTTCAATGAGGAGGCTGCGACCTGTTTCAAACATTAAAAGTAAAAATAAATCTAACAAAAAAAATGGGTAAACACAGTAAGAAAAAGGTGAGAGGGATGAAAAAGCCTTGTGACAGGTGAGAGGTGGGGGAGCTGAAAGCCAGGGGAGAGGACCACAACACTGCAGTGATCTATGGCAAGAAACTGTCTCTGTGGCTACTAACACCCACAGGGTGAGTGGATGTCCTGTAGAGCAGTGCAGGCCTCCCATCAGAGGGCTGAGGGCCAAGCCGCAAAGGCACTACTGCGCCTTCTGTATGTAGCTGTGAGAATAAATGCCCTACCGAGGTGCATGGGGGCTCACATTACCTTTTCTTTCGCATCATAAGTTACAATGCAACACAGAAAAAGTACAAAGAAACAGTTCCCAGCGAGCCTGGATCACATTTCCTAGGCTGAACAACACCTGAATCTACGAGAAAGAACAAAGCTTGACTGAAAGTTGACCACAGGACAGATATTTTAACTTCAACACGTACCACTTTGTCCTCTTTCTGGTTGTCAGAAGCCAGCAAGCTCCACTCAATATCCAGTGGTCCAGAATCCTCTGGGGCCAAGGTGAACTGGCAGTCCAGCTTGACACTCTGACCTTTGGCCTTTTGTATGGGTTCCTGTCCTGTAGAGGTGATCTCCAGACCAGAGGCCATGCCTAGATTGGAATGAAGAGAGCACATTAATGTCACGGCTGCAACAAACATGATCATTAAGAAACATGCAAAGACGGTCAAAACATGGGACAAATACAAGACTTCAAACTTTGGTTTTTACACATCTTTATATCCATATCTATACTTATTAACTAATAATTATGCGCAAGGGCTACATCTGAGTGATGGAGAGCCCTTTATCCTTTTTTAGAATGTTCAAATCAAAGCTTTAATTGAATATGAAACAGGTTTATAATGACTAATTCAGTGTTAACATATAAGCGTGTTATGCATGTCCATTAAAATGGAACAAAAAGTAGCTTAAAAGAGAAGAAAAAGCCTTCATAAACAGGGCAGAAGAACAAAGACAAAGTATCAGTAAGTAAGTCAGTTGTGAAATACCTGAATTAAAGAATAGCTCTTAGAATAAGACACAGGAAATAAAGCAAGCAGAAGGAAAAGGTGATGGTAAACTGAGAGCAAAACATAAAATTCTAAATTTTATTCTTAGGTTTAATAGACATTACTTCCATGTGACATCAACTAGGTCAAATATTTCATTCAAAATGAGATTCCAGCTCTATCAGGGCTACAGCCCGTAGTGAACTGAGCTGTCACAGGCTGCCATAATGTGTTAAAATCCTTCTGACAGCCTAATACCTTGCAACCAACCAGGGGGGGTAAAACACCAAACAAATTAATGAAGAAACACAAATGTTGCTGCTGAAAAAACACCCTAAATGAGTAACAGCCGTTACATAAATGGCACCAATAACACTTAGCCAACAGAAATGATCTGCTGCGAACAAAAGAACCTTTTCACTCCCTCTGGAAACACAAAAGCCGTGGCATTCACCTCAGCTGCATCTGCCTCTCATTTAGGCGCTTTTACACACAGCCGACTGATGCATGGAGATAATTGGGGAAACAAGAGACCAAATCCTGCCACTGTAAACATTTTATTACCAGGAAAATTAACTACCAGCGTTTTTCTTTTGATGATTACATCTCTTATAAAAAGACAAACAAATGACAGTGGGGGTGTAAACAGGTATTTAAGCTAATCAAACATTGCCACAATGGGCCACTCATCCTCTCTCTGTGTATTAGCTAAAAACATTCTTGCTTACAGCCCAGAGTCATGCTTTCAGGTGTTCACATTTCGTACTCTGACAATGGCGCACAGTCTAATGCTTTTGTAGTGATTATGATGCTGAGACGTATTGATTTGAGCTGTGGTTAGAGGGGGTGAGCTACAGGTTGATCGTCTGTCAATCAGCTCTCTTTCAGTCCTAAAATCCACTTTGGCTGATAACCAAATGGGGTAGACCACAGGGGACCACACACATCCACTATGAGAATCTCAGTAACACCCACTTCTGTTGAAGCTTAGAGCCTGTAAGCATTTAATATGGTTGCAAAGCACAAGAGTGGTTTCATTTCTGGGCCGCTGGTGCTGCAGCTGGTGGTTTGAGCCCACAGATTCTGACAGATGCCCTTGATGGGAGCGATCCATCGCCTTCAGCAGGAGCGGGAGAAACAGGAAGCAAGCGAGAGGAAACAGAGATATGTGCCTATCACTGTCAGAACGGATATGCAGCTCGTCGTCTGTATGAGGGAAAGCTGTGTCAATTCATCACACATTTAGAGAAGGCAGGGCATTATTCACAGCTGCCCTGAAAAGAGGAGAGAATGATATTCCGAGAGAGAAAGAAGACCAGAGTCTGATTTCATACAGGTAATAAAGCACCTCTAAGGCTCTGGCTGCTGTTTGTTTAAATTACAGAGCAGCTTGAAGGCCCAGGCCACGTTCATGTGGTCCAACATTGGATACATATCTGATGATTTTCAAAGCGACCTCTGGGTTTAAATCATTATGTGAACATCCACACAAACCATGCAGACCTCAACAAAAACAATCAGAAGGAGCATTATGACCTGCAGTGTGAACGTAGCCCAAGTTGATTTCCCATCAAACATCAGCATATGAATTGTTTGACCTTATAAAGTCCCACAACTGTAAATTAAAGCAGAGGAAATATGAGCATGCATCCCTTGAGCCAGTCATCCTGAACATCCATTTCCTGTAAAAAAATAATCCACTGAATCCGACATAATTCTATTGTGCTGAACTGTTTTTACTGAGAGATTATTCACTTTAATGCTGGCTGAAGGCTGGCAAAGCTCAACTGGTCATGATAACTGGAAATGGTAATTCCATGTGTCCCTCTGTACTGGAATTCAGCAGCAACTGACTCAAAAGGTTGGAGCTACGGTCTTTCTATTCATCCCCACCATGAGCAGCCCACTGAGCTTCAGTCTGAATAAAGATAAGACTTTTATCCCCTTATTTTCCTTATAAACAGATAAACAGAAGTTCTAGGGGAATAAAGTCCTCATTGTGGGGATACAAGCATGGTAAAAGGAGAATTTACTAGGATTTTACCAAAAGGTGAAGGAAGGAGAGCTAGTCCTCATTACATTCTGATAAAGGGACTATTTATGATTTGCCGTTTATTAGATCATAACTTGCATCCATGAAAATGATAGACAAGAATTAAAGGTCTAAATTACAATTTCAAGATAACTTGTAGACACACACGAGTAAGTTAATGCAGGAATTAGTCATAAATAAAAAAGAGAAAATAACAAGAAACAATGAAAAGAACAACAACCTCTATAAATCAACAGGAAAGGGCCTTTTAATTGCAGTTTGGAAACAACAAAAAAATATTCACAAGTGGTAAAACTACCGCCGCTCTCTCTTGGTGGAACAATACAAAGAATGTTGGCATGCTCAGAGTTTTCCAGCTCACAGTGTTAATCAGTAACAATCAGCTATGGGCCCATGCTGTTGACAGTGTCTGAACCCTGGGCTGAGTCACTCTTCAACACAAATGATCTCACTGCGTTTAAGGTCTGCAGCAGTGAGAGGGTGGTGCATACAATCAGAGGCTCAGAGGGTGAGCTCCGGTCTTTATTCAGAGGCTCCGGAGCAACAGTAAACTGACCTTCTTTTAAACGGGTAATAATAATCCAGTGATAAGAGAGGCAATCATTACAGTTCAAGGGGAACGATGAAAAATTGAAAATGGACTGCAAGTGAACGCGGCCATGCATGCACGGCAGCCACACTCATCTATTTTCCGAGATGCTGTTAAGTAAGATGCATGCGAGTGTGTGTGGGACTCTATGTGTGGGTCTGCGTAGTGGGAGCCGAGCAGTGGGTGGAGGGCAAAATGGCTAATTAAAAAGTCTGTTTTAATAACCACTCATGGCTGCCCGTGTCTCTGTGAGCCACTCATTCCTTCCTGTCTTCACCACACTGACACAGCACACAGCATGGTTACTGGGAGACCTGGAATGGCCTAAAGGAATTCAGGGTGTCAGTGTGCTCCACCCAACACCCCGACTGCCACCAACTCGTTCACTCACCACCTTCTGTGCTCCTTCCTGCCAGCCCCGGCCTTCCAGTTCTTTAACACAGCCGTGATTGTGGAGCGCAAGCCCCCTGGCCTCCAATTCTCTGTGGTACTGCTGATTGTAACCCCGCCACCCACCCCCTCCACCTTTGTCAGCATACAATGGGGAATGAATCCTGTCTCCTGGCAACCAATCCCTTGAAGAAGGTTGCTGTGGCGCTTAAGACACAACGTGACAGAGACAGAAAGAGGGAAAGAAAGAGGAAGATAGACAGTGAGGGACGTAAGGAGTGGGAGAAAGAGGTTAAGTAGGAGGAGGGTGAAGGGAAACTCATGACGTGGAAAGTCAAAAGCTTTAAGGGCATTTGTGGAGGTCAAAAAGCTCCATAAATGCAGAGTTTGATAAGAAATTATTTCACACTGTGGAGGTGACGGAGTGATGCAACCAAACTGAATAACACATTTATTTAAAAGACATTGAGTCACATAACAAAAACGGTAACTTTTAATCTAAGTGAAATCTTAAAAGGACACGGCTATGGAGTGAGAGTGCTAGTCTGTATTTCTGTTGGCTTTGTTTACAGACTGTAAAAGATTAATGAAACGGGCCCTGTTTCGCAGACTTATGTTTGGAGGAATTCAGATTTTGAGCTGTCACCGTCTTCCTTTCAGTTTGCAACATGCTTACAGATCTAAATAAGATGTAAAACCAGCAGCAGAGGGCCTAAACTCATTAAGAGACTTACAGAGTTAACTAATCTAAGTGAAAACTCTGGATTTAAGATTAATACATTCCCCATTTTCCCAAGGCAAGAGAATCAAGTTTGGAGACAAGAAAAATGTCTCACACATTTCAGATTTACAATTTATATGAATTGATACATTGTTTTACTGTATTGGACACTGTAACTGACGTTAGCCTTTCAGTGGCTATATGCAAGGATTTATTAGATTTTTTATTTTTTATTGACTGATCTAACGATGTAGGATTAACAATAATAAAACACGCAGCAACTGTAAATTGGGTTTAAATTGTTATAATTAAAATGATTTGGCACATTTGTGGAATTACAGACAATACAACAAAAAAAACTATTCATGATTGAAAGTGCAGATTTGAATAGAATTTACTTTGTAGCCTAATTTGGCGGATTACAAATGAATACTTATGAAATTACATTATGACAAAAAGGCAAATGATGTTTAAAATATGTAAACAGTTGGAGCATAACATAAGCAGCCTGCATTTATAAATGAGGATAGGTTTAATGTTGCACAGCAGACTGTCCTCCCTGGATTCTTCACTGTCTAAAGCAAAATGATGAATAGTTTCATCTCAGTAGTGAATTCATCTAAATTCACTGGGCGATGCAAGGAATTCCATCTTTGTAAAAAATCTGCATCACAATCCAAATTACGAAATGTGCAAAGATAAAAAAAAACATACAAGATTTATGGAAAACAAATTAGATGGTTTGTTATTAATAAGGCACTTCCATTGCCACTCTTTTTAAATGCCATTTCTGTATGTAGTGTCATTTTCTGACAACCATCCCCTATGAAAAGTGAGATCATTCTTTCTCAGCTGTGACTTCCAACTTATGTTTTAATTACCACAGCAGAGAGAAACACACTTGGCCTCAACCAGTCGTCAGTCTA